GCAGTAAAAGTAACCTGATGCTTCCAGGATGACTGTCTCAAAAAAAAAAAAAAAAAAAAAGAAGACCCAGAGCTGACTGCCCTTGGGCCAGCTTGTGTCACATGCCCCCCACAGAGCCAGTCCTATGATGGGGACATAATGCTGTGGGCCTAGCTCGGTGTCAGGTGCTCACCCAGTGGGGAGGGCTGGTGCTAGGAGGAAGGGATGTGAAAGCCAAGGAAGTGACAGGCCTACTATACCCATCCCCTCTACAGAGGGCATGGGACCTCAGCCACATTCTCCTGTGCTGGGCTCCACCACAGCCAGCCAGGTCAGCACTGGCTGTTTGGTGACAGAAGGCTGTTCTGCCCTGGGACTGGTAGTATCTTCCTTTAAAGGCACCTGTCCCTTTGCCCTAGGCTACAACCACCCAAATCAGGCTATGGCCCCTGGGTTAAGTGCTGCCAGGGAGAGGCCATGTGGGGGTGGGCCAAGGAAAGGACATTTTGTCCCCTTGTGGGTCCCCTGTGGGACCTGGGGTGGGGTCAGAGAGATTCTCCTGGCCCAGCCTTGCCAGAGATGGACTTGAGGCAGCTCATGGGGGGCATGTCAGTGACTGACCACATGGGCCCTTGCCCCTTCCCTCAACAGGACCTCCGAGAGAAGAACTGGAAGGCCATGGAGGCGCTGGCCGTGGCTGAGCGGGCCTGCGAGGAGAAACTGCGCTCCCTGACACAGGCCAAGGTCAGAGCCTGCGTCTCAGACCCCTTGCAAGTCCAGCAGGGACACAGGCACACACAGTGCATATGGAGGCCCTGCTCCTGCCTGCCTTTCCTTCCTTTCCCTCCCTGTCACCCTGTCATTTTCCTTAAGATGAGGGACAGAGGCTTGGCGCCCATAACACAGTGGTTATGGCACCGGCCACATGCACCAAGGCTGGTGTATTCGAACCTGACCCAGGCCAGCTAAACGATGACAACTGCAACCGAAAAATAGCTGGGTGTTATGGCGGGTCCCTGCAATCCCAGCTACTCGGGAGGCTGAGGCAGGAGAATAGTAGAGTTGGAGGTTGCTGTGAGCTGTAATGCTACAGCACTCTACTGAGGGTGACATATGAGGCTGTTTTAAAAGAAAAAAAAAAAGATGAGGGGACAGAGATGTGTGCCCTCAGCTGGCTTTCCCTGCTGGGCCCTCTGTTGTGAGGACACAGGGCTAAGCAGCTACCGGGTGGGACTGATCCCCTGGTGTGGCCTCATGGACTTTCATGTTGTTTCTGTCCGGTGGTATTTTGTGTGAATAATCCAACTTCTTTCTTGGGCCCTCTGAACTCATGGCCCAGTAGGTTCCATGAGTATTCTCTATAGTAAGTTACAGAGGAGAAGACAGCTTAGCAGCCAGCACTCAGGACACGAAGACCGCATTGGCCCCACTGTCCCACTCAGCTGGGGTGTGGGTGGGCGTCTCTCAGCATCTGGGGGCTCGCACATACCTCTGGAGCCCTGGGCCTGTCAAGAGCCAGTACGGGCTCCAGCCATGGGTTATGGCCAGTGGCAGCTGGGTCCCACATTTCTCTCCCAGCCTCCCTTACACAGAAGTGCCTGTCCCAATGGTGTGAGCTTTGCAGTGCTTCCCAGGGAGCCTGAGGGTCCTCTCAGATGAGAACCCCCATACGTGGGGAGGGAAAGGGGAAGGCTTGCCTCAGGCCATGCTATTAGAGCTATAATTAGACTTCTAGAATCTTGGAATTTTAGCCCGAATTGCAGAAGCAATGCAGAAGCTGTACCCAGAGATGCCATGTGACTTCTCGTGGTCACACAGCCACATGATGACAGCAGGTGGCCCCTGGGTCCTCTGTGGCTTGCCTTATACTCTCAGACTAGAAGGCCTGAATGGGGATCCGGGTGGGCCTTGGGCACTGTCTGTGGGGACCCTAGTTTCTCAACCATGTGGCAGGCCAGGTTGCGCGGTGGCCAGGCTGGGCATCCTTGGTCAGCCTTTCTTCATGCACTTTCTGGGATTCCACCCAGCTCTCAGGCCATGCCCAGGTGGTCTAGGGGCTGATGGTGGGTGCAGCCTGCTGAGGACAGGCTATCAGTAAAACTCATGCAGTCAGAAACCCTCAGCAGTCACCCCCAGTACACAGAGAGGTGCCTGTCCTCTGTCCCAGGGGCCACCCTGGTCCTCTGCTTGCTTTATGGCTCCTCATGCCCTGGCTCCCTCTCCTTTTTTGCTTTGAATGGGAGCTGCTGACCTTTCCTTGAGGACCAGTGGGAGCAGAGTCATCTTTCAGGAAGGATGTGACAGGCCAAGTGCCCTGTGTCCTCTGAGTGGGCTCTGCCTGTGCAGAGTAGAAACACTGGGCCCACTGTCCATGCTGGCCACTAGAAGAGACACTGTCTTTTCCTGCACATCCCACCCCGTCACAGCTCCTACCTTCAGAAGAGAGTGTCCCTCTTCGGAAGTGGGTGCCTCTCCACAATCTGGCTCTACATCAGCAGGCTGATGGAGCCTGTGCACCTGTTGGGGGTCATTCCAGGACCAGGGCCTGCTACCTGCAGCAGCTCACCTCCTCCCACTAGAGCCTGGTCTGTCGAATGACCTGCACAGGCTCGGTAGTCCCCATCTCGAGGCAGCCCCACAGAGCCACTGTCTTCTTTGATTGTTGTCCCTCCCGGGATAGCTGAGGACCTGCCTTCCCTGGGATAGGGACCCAGGTATATTAGTAAACACCCCGGGGGTGCCCTATACATGTGGCTCAATGCCCCCTCCCTTGTCAACCCTCCAGGAAGATTCAGAGAAGCAACTCCACCTGACCGAGGCACAGACCAGGGAGGCCCTCCTGGCTCTGCTCCCAGGACTCTCCCTCACGGCACACCAGGTAGGGAGAGTGGGTGGTAGCTGGGGAGCCCCACTGCTCCCAGGAATATCCACCAGCCTCACCACGCATGTTTTTTTTTGCAGAATTATGCCGAATGGCTGCAGGAGCTCAAAGAGAAAGGCACTGAGTTACTGAAGCAGCCATCGGCTACCACAGAGCCCTCCTCGGTAAGCAGGGCTGCTAGGGTCCCTGCACTCTCCCCTGTCATCAGGAGGTGAGGGTGCCCAGCCCACTGCATTGTGTTCAACAAGCCAGACACCTGTTCTCCCCTATGCCCTCAGGACTTGGCCTCCAAGTTAAGGGAGGCTGAAGAGACCCAGGTCACTCTTCAGGCCGAGTGTGACCAGTACCGCACGATCCTGGCTGAGACGGTGAGCCACTAGACCAGGATTCCCTGAACATTGTGGGCTGGGGGTCACACCAAGGGGCTGCCAGGAAGGAGACCTTTGGGGCCTAAAGGGAGAGGAGCAGCATAGTAGTTCAGAAAAGTCCACTGGCTCTTTGTGGCCTTGGGCAAGTCACTTCCCTTCTCTGGCCGAGTTTCTTTGGCTAAATGGTAAAGGAGGTGGACGAGGTGCTCCCAGCTAGTCACTGTTGAGAGCTGAGGATAGGACTGAGCTGAAGGCTTGGGGCTGGTCTCTAAGGGGGAGGGGAGACTAACAGGATGATCAGGCAGAAAGCCATGGGGAAGGACAAGGTAAGTGTGTGGCTGACTGCTGGGTTGAATCCCATCTCCTTGTGACTCCAAGCGAGAAGCTAGGTCCATCCCTCCCCTCTGGCTGACCCATCCTGGGCTCCTGACAAAAGCAGCGCTGGTGGCAAAGCCCAACAGTGAGGAGAGTCCTAAGGGCCCCTTCCTAGATGCATGCCTCTTCTCCCTGGGAGGCCCCACAGCCTCCAGGACGGCAGCCACCTTCCTCACCATGGGAAGTCATGGCAGGGGAGCTCCAGCAGGTCTTCCCAGGGGCTAAGGAGCAGGAAGGCGCAGTTGTGAAGGCCTGCCTCAGTGTTGTCTCCCACAGGAGGGCATGCTGAGAGACCTGCAGAAGAGCGTGGAGGCGGAGGAGCAGGTGTGGAAGGCCAAAGTGGACGCAGGAGAGGGGGAGCTTCAGAAGGTACCGCTGGGCACCCCTGCCTTCCTGGGGCTGGGGGAGCCAGACATGACCTGCTAAGACACCTAGCTGGATGGCAGTTCTGTGAAGTGCAGGCGTATGGTTGGCAGGGTCATCTTTGTGACTTAGGAGACTTGTGTATCATGGTTGGTGTTTTGGGTGACACCTCCTAATCTCAATTATGGAATGGCAGCTGAGCTCCCCTATCTCCAAGAGGTCCCCATCCTCAGGCCCACCCCCAGGAAGATAGGGCAGGTGGGCACCAGGGTCACCTGGCTGGGCTTGGAGGGCTGGGTGCTGCCCAGCTTCTTTGCTGGGGTGAGTCGTGTTGGGTCCCAGGATGGCGTCGGTAAGGAAATGTCCCTCAGGTGCTTGTTTGACGGGGACTTTGCCTTGCTTTATAGTCACGGGCCACAGTGAAACATCTTGAAGAGACCATAGAGAGGCTAAAAGGAGAACGTGACAGTTCGGATCAGGTACGTGGGGCTCTGTTCAGAGAGCTTTTTCTCCTGTCCTGAGATACTCTTTGAAAGTGACAGACTGCTCTAGTGGTTTTTCCCTCCTGCCATGTGACTTTAGTCTCCCCCAAGCCAAGGGATCTTGTCCATCTTGTTCTGCCTTAATGAGAGAATTCCACTTTTTAAATAGGGGGCCAGTTCACTGTCCCTCAGACCATTGGAGGGCCAGACTGCGGGTCCGGGGACAAGTCGGCTGCTAAGCAGGACAGGCAGAGGTGACAAAAACACCCAGCAGGCTGGATAAATGTCGTAGGCCGGACACATATGGCCCACAGGCGTAGTTTGACGACACCTGATTTATATCCTCAGTGTGGCCCGAGACAGCTATAGGCCCTTTTGCAGATTGCCCAGCCTCAGTAAACAAAGGACTTCTGTCATGCCCTTCAGAAGTAAGGTTGCCCTGCTGCTCTCTCCAGACACCACAGAGAGCCCAGACCTTGAAGAAGGTGCCCTGGTACCTGCCTTTGCAAGTAAATCTCAGAGCTGTCCTCTCCCGACTTCAGAGATCTGAAGGCACTGGGAGTGCACGTTCAGGGTGCCATTTTCAAGAAGGTTTTCCTGCTAAAGGCTGGTTTCATTTTTTCTTTTTTGAAACAGAGTCTTTGTCACCCTCGGTAGAGTGCCATGGCATCATAGCTCATAGCAACCTCAAACTCCTGGGCACAAGTGATTTTCTTGCCTCAGGCTCCCAAATAACTGGGACTACAGATGCCCCCCGCACAATGCCCAGCTAGTTTTAGAGACAGGGTCTTACTCTGGCTCAGGCTGGTCTTCAATTCCTGAGCTCAAGCAATCCACCCGCCTCGGCCTCCAGAGTATTAGGATTACAGGCACGAGCCACCATGCCAGCCTCACCGGCTGGTTTCTTGTGGACCTCAGAGGTCTCCTGACACCTTGCTTATCTGGAGCCATCTTGTCCCCTGTCCCCGACTAGAGACTGCTGACGTTTGCCTCTGTATCCATGCAGGTGAGGGAGCATCTGGAGGTGGAGCTGGAGAAGCACATGGCAGCCGCCAGCACCGAGTGCCAGAACTACGCCAAGGAAGTGGCAGGGGTGAGTCCACCTCTCTCAAGACCATAGCCTTTGCCCAGGACCCTATGGATCTAGTTCCCCCTGGAGCTGCTGCTCTCAGCCCTCTGAGAGCAGCTCTCATGTGAGCCTTTAGTCTGAGTTGTTAGGCTTTTGCCTTACGCCTGCAGACACCTTGTTCAGCTGTCAGGCCTATGTACGTCTCGGGTGGGTTTTGGAAAGGCAGCCTCGCCTGCTGAGGGAGACCGTGCTCTACAGCTCTGGGCACGGGAATTCTCCACTGGGCTCACTGGCATCACCTGCAGTGGGGAATGGATTTAATCTCTGATAATGTTTTCTGACTGTTCTGAAGCTGAAAGCACAAACCTGGCACCCCAAATTCTGGTTAAATCTCAAGCTTTTGGCCTTTTTTGCAAGAAATAATCAGTAAACGTTTCAGAAGGCATGAGGCAGGCACGCAGCGCCCAGTGCCCTGCCCTGCTCTGTGTTCTCCTGACAGGTTTTGGGTAAATGAAGGTATTAGGTTGTATGTGCAGGTACAAACTCACAGGAGTTGGTTTTTTTCTTCTCTCTCTTCTTGCATCACCTGGCTGTTTGCCCCCAAGTTGAGGCAACTTTTATTAGAATCTCAATCTCAGCTGGATGTAGCCAAGAATGAAGCCCAGAAGCAGAGTGATGAGCTTGCCCTGGTAGGTGGACTTGATGCCTCTGGGGCGGGGAGCTGTAACCTGAAGGTTGTGTGTCCTGTGAATTTGCCAGTCATGTGTTTACGTGGTAACAAAGGTAACACAGCTTAGTGGAGGAGACCATGTCACTGTGTTAGCCGTGTGGGGCAGCTTCACGGGGCCCATGTCACGGTGTTGGCCGTGTGGGGCAGCTTCACGGGGCCCATGTCACAGCGTTGGCCATGTGGGGCAGCTTCATGAGGCCCTCTTGCACATTTGTGCAGGACTCCAAACTGGGCCTGTGGTTGGGACCACAGTGTTCTTGCTCCATTTCTCATCCCTTAGCCGCCTGCTCCCGCCCTTTGTATCCTCTCGGGACATCAAGGACACTGTGACCCTTGGCAACACAAGAGCAGGAGGCCTGGGGGTTCCTGGCTTAGCCACCTGTTGTCCTGTGGCTCTCAGCAAGCTCCTTGCCTTCTGTACTCAGAACAGTTTGGTCTAACCTGTGGGCGCCAGGAGGCCTGCTCTGTGCCCGGCCCAGTACCCGGTTGGCTGCAGAAAAGGTCAAGCCCCATCAGTGGACAGGAGGAGTGTGCCCACTGCACAGCAGCCTCTGAGGAGCCCAAGTCTTGGGCGTTCTGCCCAGTTTTAGAGGCAATGAGACTTTTGATACCACTGCAGGGCTGGTTGCAAGCAGCAGTGTATAAAGCCATAGATGTGTTCTGCATTTGATCTGTAGAGTCTTTTTGAAAATGGTGACTTCGTTGTCAACATTTAGAAATTGGGAGATTTGGAATTAAAATGTACAGCTCTGGCTTTGTCCCTGGGGCTGGCCCGGGCTGCAGCAGCCCCTGAGGTTGGCATGTGCTCCCAGTCCTTGTTACACACCCTGGTCATTCATGTTTTACCCAGGCCACAGACCAGAGGGCAGGCACTGCCTGGGCCAGGTCTCCTGAGTCTGGGGCCACCCCTGTAGGTCTTTGGCTAAGTCTGGGTCTGGGTGGCAGGCCTGGCGGAGCCCTAGGATTGGAGTACGTGGAGAGAAGACTCCTTCGTTTCTTGTCATCTCTCAACTTCCCAGTTTGGCTTTTGCCTTTGGGGGCCGGAGTGAGGAAGGGAAGGAAGTGTAGGGGCAGCCCTAGTATGTGGGGTAGCCCATGGAGCAGGGCCTCCTGGATGGGGAGCTTCTTAGGTGACTCCATTGCCCTGCAAATTGGGGGCCCAGTGGTCAGGGGGCCTTGGGAGCCACCAGATGTGTCACTCAACCCCAGAGATGGAGTTCAGAGGTGGGAGACCTTAGTAGGCAAGAATGTCATCTCATAATGTACTTCATTCCTCACAAGGGGCTCTGAGGAGGAGACTGCAGGCTTAAAGGAGACGTGTGGTAGGCAGTCAGTGTTGTCAGCTGCCTCTCTGCTCCATTTGGGTTTGTTAGCTGTGCAGGCTTTGTCCATCAGGGGTACCTTGCTTCCAGGAGGGCTCCACACCATTTGGCCTTGGAGCAGAACACACGAGTCTCATCGGTCCAGAGGCTTGTTGGTCTTGCAGCCTCTGTGTAGCTCAGGTCCAGATTGTGACCCTGGCCCCTGCCCCAGTGAACCAGCATGGTGCTGAGAGCAGCTTTAGTCTTCCAAGGGGGGTCCGAGTGTGTGAGCGTGTGCAAAGTGGGTGTGCAACCAGGTGTGCATTTGCACAAACCCACCCTCCCTGTTTCAGGTCAGACAGCAGTTGAGTGAGATGAAGAGCCACGTAGAGGATGGTGATGTAGCTGGGTCCCCAGCTGCCTCCCCAGAGGCCCCCCCAGCCGAGCAGGACCCTGTCGAGGTTAGGGCGGTGAGCTGCCCCCCCCCCAGACTTGTCACTAACCCCAGGTGGACGCAGGCTCCACAGCCTATCATGACTAAACACTGAGCTGACTACTTTGCCCACATGAGGGGAACCAATTTCCAAGAATGGCACAGAGCAAAGGACAGGGAAAGTGGCCAGGCGGAGAGGCTGGAGGAGGGGGCGGGAGACTGTGGCCCTAACAGCCTATCAGGGAGGGGCTCAAGGAGGGCACCTGCTCCTCGGGGCTTAGGGGAGCGCCTCTCGGCAGGGTCTTCAGCCACGGAGGAGGACTTGGCCCCCATGGTGGCCCTTGCTGGGAAGTCACTAGCAGGATGTTTGTTCTCCAGAGTTTTGACATAAGTGATAGCTGCCAAGAACCCTCTCCAGGAGGCAGGGGCCTGTCGCTAGGGTGGCCGTGGTGTGGCTGTTGGAGTCACCGCTGTGGGGCTAGGATTGTAAAGCAACTTTCTTGTCCCGTGGGTCTCATTAATGGCTCCTGAGGTTGCAGACATCCCATCAGCTTCTCTTCAAACATATAAGCTTTGTGCCAGGGGCTAAGGCACCATCTCCCTGAGGGGGCTGTGTTGCAGATGCCTCAGTGGGGTGGGAAGACCAAGGGATCATGGAAGCAACTAGAAGGCAGGCCCACAATCAAAGCTGCCCTGGCATGGCCGGGTTCCCAAGCCTTGTTTGGTGTCTCCACACAGCTGAAAATGCAGCTGGAACGGACAGAGGCTGTCCTGGAGGATGAGCAGACACAGCGGCACAAGCTCACAGCCGAATTTGAGGAGGTCAGGCCCTGCCCTAGGTCTCAGCCCCCACTAACGCCCCACTAACCTAGGTCTCCAGTCTAGGCCTCCGTACACATAGGGGAAGGCCCAGCCAGCAGGCATGCTCAGAGGCCACCTTGAGGGCAATTTGGGTCCTTAGGTCTTCTGAGGAGCTAGTGTCTTCAGGCAGTCTCTGGCCTTCTAGAACATGTAGGTCCTGCATGCTCATCCCATCTACTGGTGGGAGTTACTCCCTATCAGGCTAGGGGTGTCTCCTGGTCCCCACGCATGCTCGGTGGGGTTTGACGGCTCAGCTGTTTGTAAGGCACCTCACCCAGGCTCTGCTTCTCTCGGCGAAGGCTCAGGCCGCAGCATGTCGGTTACAAGAAGAGCTGGAGAAGCTTGGCACCACCAGTCTGGAGTCTTCAGGAACAGTGGAGGCTGTGCAGCTGAAGGTAGCACTGGTGGGGGCGGGGCCTACTGCAATGCTGGGGCCAGGAAAGGAAGGCCGACCCCATCTGGGCCAGCCCTCAGCACCAACTTTCCTTGTTATCAGCTGGTGAGGGCCCAGCAGCTTACTTGGGAAGGGTCCTAACCCTGTACTGTCACGTTATATGGCAGACACTAGTTGGTGTGGCTATTAAATGAAGTTGGTTCAGTAGCTGTGTACGTGGCAGTCACTTATGACTGATGGCTGCCACACTGGATAGTGCAGAGTGTCCACTTTCCCTGTCGTCCCAGGGAGTTCTCCCAGCTGCTAGTAGATAGGACACAGACTTAGGGTCGACCCAGGCTGTTGCCACCTAGCCATCACTGCATCTTTCTGGGTAACCAGGAAATGCCATCCTCATGTTCCCAGTGGGCCCAAGTCCCTGGAGCTTTAGGGGCCCATGTTCATATTGGGGCAGCCCTCCTGCTGGTATTATGTGGACTGACCCCCTTCAACCCTTGGCCTGCAGGAAAGACTAGAAAAAGAAAAAAAGTTAACAAGTGACCTGGGGCGCGCTGCCACCAAACTGCAGGAGCTTTTGAAGACAACGCAGGAACAGCTGGCAAAGGAGAAAGACACAGTGAAAAAGTTGCAGGAACAGCTGGAAAAAACAGTTAGTGTGCCCTGTCCCTTCTGGGGCCATCTTGGGGGTTGGCCCCTGCTGGAGGGCTAGGGTGTTTGGGCGCAGTGCTGGGAGCCCCAGAGAAGCAGGATGAGAAGTGCCACTGGGATGGAGGAGGGGACAGAGACTTCCTAACAGGGGCAGCAGCCCTTGGACCAGGGACCCACCCTTCTTCCATGGTTCCCTTGAGGGAAGGGATGTCTGACCCCCTTAGCAGCCGGCCGGGCCTCTCAGCCAGTGTCCCTGCCACAGGCCAGCACCCCGGGAACACAAGTTTCTCCTCCAGACTCTAAGCCCTCACTCTCGTCTGCATCCTCAGTTCTGGGCTTTGGGCTCCTGTTTGTAAAGTGGCTGGAGTGGGGGTGGCCATTAATCCAGGTGGAGGCTCGATGGTCCCTAGGCCTGGGACCCAGCCTGTCTCTCACGCTGCCCTCTTTGTTCACAGGAAGACAGTAGCAGCTCAAAGGAGGGCACCTCTGTCTGAGTCTCCTGTGGAAAAAGAAGTTACTGTTCAACTTACCAAAATGCCTTACACATTCCTTACAAGTAAACAAACCAGTACAGCGTTATCCAGGCCCAACTTCCGGTAGCTCAAAGAGAAGCCATTAGAGACATGAGTCTCTTAGAACTACAGAAATAGATCTTCCAGATACTCAGTTTGTAAAAGAACCTTTGTCACATTTGATAAACACTACTCCCTGGAAGCCGCCCTGGACGCCACCACCTGAGCAGTCGCCAAAGCCCTCATCAACTCTGTGACAGCCTCCTGGGTGTTTTGTGCCCGGAGGCTGGTTGTTCTAGGGGTCTGTCAAATCAGTGCAATTGTCCTGTCTGTATTCAGTGGGGCAGGGCTGGGAAGTGGGCGGGACCAGGTCATAAGTTCTGGAAGGCTGTGGGCGCACTGGAGGACCACAGGCCAGCCCAGTGAGGCAGCAACCCTGCACCCCTTGAAGATGCCAACCAGGACTGATGTGTGACCTCCTGGATGACAATGCCATTAAAACCAACATTGATGCCTGGCACTGAAGTCTCTGTCTTCTGCTAGGGGTCCATTGCCTGGGCTGTCAGCCCAGGATGAAGAACCAAGAGGGGCTGGCCTTGGGGGAGGGGGAGCAAGTGCATCCTTGGTTCTGTGTGGAGTGGGGGTGAGGCTTGCTGCTGCCCCTCGCCCGGCACTTATCCTTGTTGGCTCCCAGGCCCCTGTCTGTGGGGAGGGCAAGGGATGGGGCTATGACACCTGGTAGCCAGATGTGCTAACCACCCTTCTGAGGTTTCTATGAGCAGGGCTGGCAGCCTGGGCTGCTGTGTGATGTGAGTTCCTGGAATGAACAAGGGTCTCTGTCCCAGCTGGAGCTTGCGCCAACACCTGCCTTGGGCGTGGTGGTCCAGGACTATTGCCTGCCCTCTGGAAGCCTTTCACTGGGGAAAGGTAGCTTAGACCTCACGACTCAGACTTAGTATCCTTGGTGGCCTGTGGCAGCATGGTCCAGTGGAACCCTGGCCCAAGAAGCGTATAAGCAGCAGGAGCCTGCAGCTGAGGAAAGCCTGAACCAGGCCAAGAATGGAAAGAGGAGCTAAGCAGCACTCGTCCTGGGGCCAGCACCAACATATCTCATCATGAGGCTGGCTCCACCAAGCACTGTTCACTTTGCTCTCCCAGCTAAGCCTCAGAATCCTGGGAGAGGGTCTGACTAGTCTAACTTGCTAGAGGACAGCCAGACACGTGGTGGCAGGTTCTGCAAGGCAGCACTGAGGGAGGGAGGGTGGCAGCCCAAGAGCATGCCCTGGGATCTGCAGCTCTGGCCCCTTTAGGAGGAGGGTGTAACCCCAGGGGTTATTGTTCTTGGAAGTTTCTGCATGTGTATGCTCTGCCTCTTCAGCACACACTCCTACACCCACCAGGCTCAGAGCACCTGTCTGGGCCACCTAACCATGCCGTGGTACTAGTGTGTTAATGCTATATTGGGAATAGGCGCTGGAAATCCTGGGAAGGCTCTGGAAGAGGACTGGTGCTCACAGGAAAAGGTGTTTATTGGTTGGGGGAGAGGAAGGGCCTCAACCACGGAGACAGTGGTGGAGTGGCTAGGCTATGAAAGGCAGCTGGGGCGGTGAGGCCTGAAACGCATGTGCAGCCAGGTCATGAAGGCTGGGGCTGGACCAGCTAAGGCAGCAGAGGAGAGACAGCCACACCTCCCCTGAAATTCCCTGGAGAGGAGAGCCCACAGGTCTTAGGACATTTAACACGTTGTTTCTGGCAGCAAGACTGGAAGGTTTCAGCACATGCCTTGGCCATGCTAAGCTCTCACAGCTGGTAAGCTGCACCTGGTGACAGGCCCACTGTGGCAGTGCATGGCCAGGGGGTTAGGCTGGAGGGCAAGCGCTGGGTTTGGGAGTGTGTGGAACCCCATGAAGGGCTGCCATTGAGCCCCTCAAAACTGTACCCAAGTGCCTTCATGTGCAGAGCAGGGAACACAGCAGGATGAGGAATGAGCTGTGGGGATGAGGGGACAGATAGCGGCACATGGGCAACCTTAATTAATTCAAGGTCACTTCAGGGCCCTGCCGAGTTGGGTGGGGAACAGGCCAGACACCAAGCCTCCTGCCAAATTGCCACTGTGGGCCTGGAGCCCAGCACTTCCCCAGCCCCTGTGCCGGACAGGCTGTGGAGTGGAGTGGAGTGGGTAGGCTGTGTACTGGAACACAGGAAAGGGGAGACGACCTTGGGAGAGGGTGACAGTGGACACTGAGGGTACCATGCTACTACCTGTGTGTTCTAAGGTGGAGTGACTGCCCCGGGGTCTGGCTAGACCCTGCCCCCCCTCAGCCACCCGGTGGAAGCCCAGAAGCCCAGTGCCTAAGGGAAGGAGGGAAGTTAAAGGCATCGAGCAAGGGGTGGGGAAGTCAGGAAAATACTTCTTAAAGAACCTAAGACCTCAGGTGGCGCCTGTGGCTCAAAGGAGTAGGGCGCCGGCCCCATATGACAGAGGTGGTGGGTTCAAACACAGCCTGGGCCCAAAACTGGAAAAAAAAGAAAAAAAAAAAGAACCTAAGACCTCGCCTCTGTCCCTGCCTATCCCCAAGTCTGAGCAGCCCTTTGGCCCAGCAGCGGCCTCTTCCCAGCTGGCAGAGGGAGCCGGAGTTTGTCAGGCAGCTTTCTGGGCCTTCCTTAGCCCAGCCAGACCACCCTGGCTGTTCCTGGGCCAGATTCCTGTCACCGGGCTGGGAAGGAAGGCTGGAGAGAAGCAGCTGAGGAGTGTTATCAGCCCACCTTCAGCGGGTTTCTTACAAGAGGCTAACAGCCCCTCCCTGCCTCCCCCCAGTGTTCAAATAGTACAGCACACACCAGCCTAGATCACTGGCCTGGCCACATAGCTCTCCATCCTGCAAGTGCTTCAGTACTTGGGCACCACTGAGCAAGTGGCTTTTGCTGGCCTGCTAAGGAAGCTCTGGCTTCACAAGGCCATGGCTGGGCTAACCATGGCTGCTGTGTTTCACTCTGCCAAACTAGAGAAGGGGGAGTTCTGAGAGCATCTAAGGCCCCCAGAGTTGCCGTGAAGCTCTGGGGTGACAGTGTAAACAGCACCTCCAGACCCAAGAGGCCCCTCACTACACAGCTGTTCTGCTGACTGGCGTACCCTGGTCCTCTGTGATGCCCAGTGAAGGGCACAGGCACCAGGACATCTGCTGAAGGCCGCGCCTACACAGCACCTGGACAAGGCAGCAGTGAGATTTTAGAAACTCTTTAGTCTACATTCTCCACAAACGCCTTCACGTCGCATTGCCTTCAAGTTCAGGTCTCACGAGAGCTCAGGACCCCCAAGGACATGTGCTGCCTTCCTTCTTGCACCTTTCAAATCTCAACACTGAAAAGATCTAACCTTTGGATTTCACGTGTCAGAAATGGAGGGCCAAGCATGGTGGCTCACGCCTATAATCCCAGCTACTCAGGAGACTGAGGCAGGAGGATCATTTGGGCCCAGGAGTGTGAGGTTGCCCTGAGCTATGATGACTCTAGCCCAGGTGACAGAGACCCTATCCCACCACGCTGTTTCCCCCCCCAAAATGGAACTAGCTCAGGAACAGAAAAGCTCTGAGTTTCAGTCCGGGTTTTGCTACTCATGAGTGTAGTGACCTTGGGCAAGTTACTCTCTGGGCTGGCTGTTGAGGAGACTGCCTGAGGCTCTGACCCTGCCCAGCTGCCCTTCTCGGACTGACTGGGCAGAGCATAAGGAGATCTCTCGTTAGCCAAACACAAATTACTCAAGCCCACTGGAGAAACCCTAGCTATTGGAACATTCTTCCCCTTTGCCACCATCACCCCCACCAGCCACAATGCAATTAACATCCCCTCCTCCAGCTGCATCCTAGCTGGAACCCTGTCTACAGCCTGTTTCAGAAATATTCCAAATCAGGAGAAAGTGATGTGTCCTTTGACATATCCAGTCTCTGATGGTCCAGAGGGCAATAACCATGTCAAAAATAGAAGATGCACTTTTAGTATCTGGACCAGCCAACACTCTTATGCAGACAGGAAACTACTAGACTAAACCTAGTTCTGTTATCCAAGATACTGTGTTTACTATCTTCTCAGAGATTAATATTCCTTGAGAAAATAAACTTCAATCAACCCCTGGTTGAATTCTATCAGTGGTTTTATTACTGTCTTCTCAGGGCAAGAGTAACCACTCAATGAGTAGGCAGTCAGCTTTCCACATTTTTGCAACATATTAACACTTGCGAAGGTGTAAATGTGTTTTCACAGAGTACAGCTGCAGTTTTGTTCTTGCTCAAGGTGAGGTGAAGTCTAAACCCTTATTTTGTACCAGAATCACCTGGAGTGCTTGTTAGTAAGATCCTTGTGTCCCAACTTCAAGAATCTACTAAAACTCTCTCAAGGGTTCTCCTAAGGTATAGACCTAAGTAACTAGTAGCATCTTCCCCAATTTCTGGAATAAAAGTGGGGTTCTGGGAAATGATCACTATATACTATTTGAAATCCTTCCCACGGCACACATCTCGCAGACAAGTGCGGGGGCCCACACTGCTTGTTTCACAAGCTGACACGAGAGAGGCCTTCACCTTCTAACGCTCCTTGATCAGAATACTTGACTTTCCCTACATGGCTGACTCTTTTGAGTAGGGCAGCCTGGGGCTGGCAACACTTCCCTAGAGGCCCATTAATATATAATCACACAAAGTACTGCTATGCAGTAGAGAAAACAAATTCAGGAAGAAAGGAAGACAAGTAGCCAGAATTACCTTCCAGACAACTTTGAAGGAAGTGTTTTAATTAAAGCATGATAACCTCTTCTGCCTTCCAAAAGCCTGGCTTTGGATAAACGTTTGGAGTAAGAAAAGGTGTCTATTTATATGAACCTACAGGGCATCCCTGCTCCTCAGCTAGGTTATCTGGCATAGCCCCTTGCTCTGAGGTTACAAACCTGTTCAGCATGTTACTATTCTAAAGACTGTAGGTAACTCTAACACAGTGGCAACTATTTATATCTATAACCTCATCTAAAGAGGAAAGGTATAGTAAAAACATGGCATTATAATCTTACACGTGACCACCATCATACATGTTATACACTGACCAGAACGTTATGCATTGTGTGACTACATCAAAATTCTAACCATGTTACAGTGTGTAGCTGGACAATGTATAATTCTCTTTTTTCTATTTTTTAAAATTTAAATGTGATTTTATTAACCTTTATAACCTAAAAAAGTTTAATAAGCACTGAAGCAAATTTAAAAAGATAAAGGTTCCCAACTTTCCTATTCAATCAGAGCAGGCAGCTGTGACCATAACTCTTTGTCAGAAATACCTAAACCTAAATGGCCCACACTTCCATATGGAAAGTAAATCCTTTATTCCCAATTCCCACATGAATAATTACACAAGAGAGAAGTTAAAAATGCTTCCTTTATTACATAAAGCCAATACTGCTACTTCTAAATTTAACTGTTGTTTGTGCATCTCCATACTCTTCAGTGTTATTTATGCCTGTGATGTTGACAA